GAAAATTGTTTGCTTTTTATGTTTAGCAGCTCCTTTTGTTTAAAGACACAAATCTCCTTGTTGTAAGCAAAACTAATATGCTGTACTGAAAAGCACAAGACAGAAGTCTTTTCTGTATTTTATGCTTCTTGGCTTACTCCTTAAAGATACGGGAAAAACAACTGAGTAGTAAGTTGATTACAAACTAGATAATGATTTTAGAATAGTTTAAGCTCATTGTAAAATGTTGCGTAAAGATCTTTTGATTCTAAATAGGCAATAAAATACTAGATTACTTTCATGTTACCACTACAGAAGTAATCTGTACGGGAAGAACACTGTAGCAGGCTCTGAAATAGCTGGTACTGATTATCAGTAAAGAGATCTTGCATTGTTGTGGATAGCTACTGAAAATGATTTGGTGCTTGTTCGCAGGCAAGATGACAAGCAGAAGCCAGCACTTTAATTTATAAAAGATAAAACCAACCAAACAAACAACAAAACAACTAGAAGTTGGTCAGCCACAGTATAAATAATTAATATCTCCAGCAGCTGAATAGAGTGCAGTTATTTTTGAGAAATGGTGACAGAATATTGGGCTACGTGGACTTCATAGCCTGTATATGTACATGTTCTATTAAGCATATTTTAGAAAACCTAATTAGGACTTTGTAGAGAAGCTCTTTAATGGCAAACTCATTACAGCTTGATGTGTCAGGCTGTAAAGTCAGTAGGCTAGAATGTACTATAGTAAGATTAATGAACTGAAAATTTGACTGTGCTATAATAAGCTTCAGAACCATTTAGCAGTTCTCATTTGGTTTTGTTTCCAGTGCATTATTTGAGGCTTAGACCAAGAAGATATTCTGCCTATGAAAAATAGTTGTATATTCACTGTATTCATAAAGTGGTACTAAAAAAAATTGCTTTATATGAACATTGCTCTGACTACTAATTATGACTATTTGCAGAATAAAGTTATTTTTTGCTTCAGCATATAAAGCTAAAGTAAGTTCTCCCTTGGACTTTGAGGCATCTTCAGACAGTAACTCAAAATACTGCTAAATTTAGAAACTTAGGAGCAAGTCAACAGTCTTCTCTTACACAAAATGAAACTTACTAAATAAGATACATTATTTTTTTATTATTTCATTAGTATATTACTTGTCTCTACACTTGAGAGATTCAGACAGGACTATTCTGACTATTCCTCTGAACCCCTTCCCATTGCCTAGTGAAGTAAATAGACCTTACGTCCTAAAATATGATAGATTTGGTCTGTGTTACACAAGGAGTGAAGCAGATAAATTCAGGAGATAAGAGGATTTCAGTGAGGAAACTCTGTGGTCTCTTCTTGCATCTGAACATGTCTCCAGCTGTTCTGCTTTGATTGTCACTGCATAATCTTACCTGAGGGGGGAAGTAGCTCTCTCAGGCATCAAGTGTCAAGCTCCACAGTCAGAAAACTTAGTTATTTCATACCATAGTATTTTCAAAGATGATGAACTGTTAGGGAGGGGTTGGATTTTTTATTTCTCCATCTATTCTTTTTTGATCAGTTACACCAATTTATATTTTGTTGCTTCTACACTGAAAGTACTTTAGTACCTTTTCATCTGTAATAACTGTTTGTTCTAGGTAATCCCCCACTTGCCAACCCTTACGGTGATCCTAATTTATCTCAACCTATAATGGCACTTCAGCAGAACGTAGCAGACATTTTGTTTGTGAGAACTAGTTATGTGAAGAAAATTATTGAAGATTGCAGCAACTCTGAAGAGACTATCAAGTTGCTTCGATTCTGCTGTTGGGAGAATCCTCAGTTCTCTTCCACTGTCCTCAGTGAACTTCTTTGGCAGGTAAAAATAAAAAGCTAGGAGAAAGATGGGAATATAAAGGTGTATGTTGCAAGATTCTGTATTTATATGTAGGAATGTTGTATTAAATACTGAACAGGTGCTTGATAAATAAACTTTCCTTAAGATGACATCCTCTGTCAGTATTTACACTCTTAGGTCTATACATCATGTTGTAGTACTGTGAGAAATCCTTCTATGAGCTTAGGAACACAGTTGGCCTTTTATGAGTTAGGATTGCTGTGTTAGGATGGGAAGTTCGTAGGCTGAGCGTATTGCAAGACCGTTTCCTACAACTTTTCTGTCATTGTCCATAAAAGAGCTTCTTATGTTGCATGGAAAGTTGGAATCACTTCCTAAAATCTCCCTTGTATTTATTTTGAGTGTGTTTGTAAGGTTCTTTTTTACAAGTCTGCAGAACGTACTTGGCTTCAGATTCAGGAAAGAATCTTTTGGACTGTCTTGTTTTTCCTTTGTAATCTCTGTAAGGTTAGTCACGCTTTTCCACTTCAAATTAGATATTTTTTTTACTTCTGTTAGCTCATCTTTATATTAGCCCATTTTTTTCCCATGTAAACATCACATTTTCCCTATGTCCTTTTGTTTGGCACTTGAAAGAATAATAACAAAAAAATCACTTTACTGATATTTTGCTACCCATGTATTTTACATTTTAGGATAAGCTTTGAAGACAACTTTTTGAACATATGTTTAAAAAATACCATTTTGTAATTTTTAAGGTAGCTTCTTCAGCATCTTGTGCTTGGCACTTCAGATCAATTGTGTTAGAAACTCATGAGGAAACATTTTGTCCTTTAAAAAACCTACTGTATTTAAAAACAAACAAAACTACAAAACAAGCCAAAACACACAAACAACCCAGCAAGACCACAACCCCACAAAACCCCTGACACAATTGAAGTTGTTTTTTTTTTAAAAAAAGGAGAGATATGCATTGTACCTTGAAATAGCCTCTAAATTACAGTAAACTTGACTTCAAATAAATTGGGTTCTTGTATTGCACCATGTCAGCTGCATGCTTCAAGCAATACTTTCTTATTTTCTCTGCATTTTTACTTTTTAAGGTTGCATATTCATACACATACGAGCTTCGACCTTATTTGGATCTGCTTCTGCAAATCCTATTAATTGAGGACTCTTGGCAAACTCACAGGTTAGTATTTACTTGTCTTTATATAATTCAAGATTATCATGTTTTGTACAGCTTGTTTTCCCAGTAATTCCATGCTAATCCTTTCAAGAGGTTTGTTGTAAATATATATTAAATGAAAATACAGGAATAAAGCATTTTTTTTTCCACTTCTGTCTCAAAGATTTTGAGGTAAATCGATTATTTTGCACCTTGACCTTCCTTACTACTGAGAAATTTACTACTTAGTTCTATAAACCCAAGATTTTTCTCATACAAGAATGTGCCATTTAGGCTAAACTCATTGGCATTTACTATGAGGTGCTTAGATTGGTTCTTAAAAACCTCTCGTTCAGGAGGGTCCAATGATGGCCTGGTCTTACTGAGAAGCACGTCAGTCATAGTAGTGATACCAATACACGCGTAAAGTGTGACTGTGGGAGAAAAGTGTATTTCATACATAAATATTCTCTATGTGATCACATTTCAAGAGAATTTTAACTTCAATATATTAAATATTCCTCCAGTTTCAAACCTAGTTTTTCTATGCCTACAGAATAAGGCTTTTTGAAAGCTGAGATTTCAAAATGTAATTATTGCAAATACTGACTATTTGAGAGAGTATAGTCAATTTTTCAGAAGTTTTATGTAGAAGTAGTAGTAGGTGAGGTAACACAAAATAAATGTTATCAACATAATCATGGAGTCTTAATGACCTTTGACTTCTGTTTCAAAAAACCAAAACAAAAACCAGCATAACTGTCTATAGTAAATGTTATGATCTAACATTATCTGATCTTAGACAGCATGCATCCTGTGGTGCTCCTTCTATTATTGTACTGTGAGATCGCTGCTGCTGCTGCTGCTGCTTGACATCAGACCCGCTCGCATAAAATTTCTCTTGATTTGACAAGTTCCAAGTGCCAAGTTTGGGATAATAGTGTTACAAGTACCATTAAGTTAAATCAGCTGATGTAGAGCTCATTGTCACTTTACCAGTGGAGCCTAGGTTGCCAGCTGCCTGGAGTCTGTATTCACTGACTGTTGCTAGGGCTGCAAGGAAGGAGAGCAGTTGCTTTTCCTACCATGAGTGTAGCTCTTCGAGACATTGGTGTAGGCTCCGTGCCTTCCTTCTTTCAAAGATAAAAGTACGTCAGTTCTCAGTTCTTGCACAGCTTCAGGGTGGCAATTAATTGCTTTAGCCCTTGTTTGAAAGCAGAAGGCACAGAAGGTGGGCTTAGTTCCAGGGAATGCCAAAGTCCCTTATCCCCCTGCACAGATACATACCACTGCATCTAAAAGAGTCTGTCTTTGAGAAGTGCAACTATAATGTAAGTAACCATTCTGTTGAGGACCTATTGGGTTAACAGGTCTGTTTTGCAAATGCAGTTGATTTTAATAATAAGTAAGAAAAATTAACCAGTTCAAGTTGATTGCTGTGATTAGAAGTAATCATACTTACATGTTTTATATATCTCATTCAGAAAGTTTATATGTTACCAGATGTGCTAAAATTATGTTACATATGTGAAGTTAGTTTTCTGATTTTTTTTTTTTTAAAGAAACCTCTTTACTAAAACCAGAAGTCAGTATATGAGCTGTCCCTTTTATAATTACATTATAAGTGAAGCCTTAATTCAAGTATTAAAACTCTTTAACACTTGAAGTTTTGGGGGTTTTTTTGTAGGATTCACAATGCACTTAAGGGAATCCCGGATGACAGGGATGGACTATTTGACACCATTCAGCGCTCCAAGAATCATTATCAGAAAAGAGCTTACCAGTGTATAAAGTGCATGGTAGCTCTCTTCAGCAACTGTCCTGTAGCCTACCAGATCCTTCAGGTAATACCTTTCATTCTGTTTCTTGCTGCTTCTTTTGCCAGTTCTGTGTTAAACCAGAAAAGCCACCACCATTATTCAATATTCATCACCTTGATGAAACGACAATTTCATTATTCAATATTCATCACCTTGATGAAACGACAATTTCCAAGTACAACTCATTTGAACCTTCCTATATCAGAATGTCCCCATATGGGATTGAGAGCAATTTGGTTAAACTTGCACTCATGATTCTGTGATGCAGCTGCAAATCTACAGACTGCATTTCGAATTTGAAGTTTCTTTGTGCAAGAAAGGACATTTTGGGGAGCCTTCTAAACAGCAGCACTTGTGTTGGTGGTCTGTTCTCTGGTAGCTGATGTATAGGAAGGGAAAAATATTTCTGTTTTGAAGAACAGACAAAATAATTCTGATTTGTTAATTTTCCATCTGCAGAGCAATGGAGATTTGAAGAGAAAATGGACCTGGGCAGTAGAATGGCTTGGAGATGAGCTTGAGCGTAGACCATACACTGGCAATCCCCAGTACACCTATAATAATTGGTCTCCACCAATACAAAGCAATGAAACATCAAATGGCTACTTCCTAGAGCGATCGCACAGTGCTAGAATGACTCTTGCAAAAGCTTGTGAACTCTGCCCAGAGGAGGTAAAGAATTATTTTGACTTCTGGTTAAAAAATTGAGTGAAGTGCTTCTATAAATAATTAACCGTAGCAACAGTCTCCAGTCATTATAGAGGTAACACATTTTATAAGTATTCTATAAATACAAATTTCTGGTTTTATTGGCTTCAGTTACATACTCCTGTGCATTTTTCCACTTTTATTACTGTTTCTATAGATATCTGTCACTTAAAGAATTAGCAGTAGAGAATTGCAATTCACCATTTAAAGTAGATTATGAATGGGTATTTTTTTGCAATAATACCTTGCTAGTGGGAGTTTTTATGTAGTACAGTACAAGCTATGGGTGATACAGTGGGGTGGATTTTTTCTCCAAGCATGTCTGAAACAATGACTTGCATGTAGGATCGGTTCTGGATAGAATAATTATAATATGTTTACCTAGGCAAATGAAATGTTTTTTCAAACTTTAGGAACCAGATGATCCTGATGCCCCAGATGAACATGAATCTTCTCCACCTGAAGATGCCCCACTGTATCCCCATTCACCTGGTTCCCAGTATCAACAGGTAAAAGCTCAGAATTTAACCATTTATTCAGAGTTCTAGAGTTGCTTTATTTAGCATTTATGGTAACATAAGCTGGAGGCATATTAATGTCAAATATCACACTTGGAGGAATAAAGATAAAGATTCACCTCCATTTTGCCAGGAACAGTTTCACCATCAGAGTTTCGTGTGAGAATTTTGATGTTATCAGATCAGGGATTAATCCTCTATTGAAAGAGGAGGGGGACAGATGTCATCACAGTCCAGCGTATACTGAATTTGATTCTGTTGTGTCTGTTGATAATTGGCAACACCTTGCGAGGTGCTTTTGCACTGCTAAATACAAAATCAAGCCTCAAGGCCTGAGTTTCAGTTTGGGTAATTGGAAGCCTTTCAGAGAAATTTGTTTTCATGTTAAGTGGCTGCTTTGTTAATATCTTTCAGTGAAAAGCCAGATCTGAAAGAAATCATAACCAGTTTTTTTTTTTATTGAATTGACTAAATTAGTAGATCCCCTACTTAGTTGCCATTTTTGTTCCAGTTCACTTTATGTATTCCAAACCTGCTAATTTAATTTCCTTTCCTGCCCAAACCCATTTTCCCTCCATCTTGCTTTCCTTATTTGATGTTCTCAGCAGAGCAGTTGGTAAGTCACGCAGATTTTCCCACTCTTCTCTGAGCTCCTGGGTTCAGACACGTACCGTAACCTCACCATTACCCGTGTGATGTGTTCACTTTCTTGCAAGAGATGGCGTTTCTCACTAACACGCACAATCCTTGTATTTCCAGTTTTTCCACGGTAAAAGAGTCAATAGATGAGATGTTTTCATTTGCCAGATGTGTGTATGTGACTTTTTAAATTGGGATAGAGCACCTGGAGAAAAGTTCTGGTCTAGATTTCATTCAGTTCTGTAACATTGAAGGTTTTGCTTATAAAAATTGAAGTATGCTGCATAAATACAGGTTTGCTTTTTCCATTGTCTTAGGAAAAAATTCAAGCTGGTTGAATCTGTTGATAAAATATGTGCACAGTTTCATGTCTGCAGCACATAGGCAGCCTCTTCTTGTCTCTTTTTTTTCTTGCTGCTTTTGCTTTGCATGTAACTGTTATTCAGAAGCTGAGATTCCTATTTTAACTGATTCTTGTATCTTTGTAAGTTGAAAGTTTGTTTACCTTCTGTGTAAATTAAAAAGGTAAGTGATTCAGATGTGATTCAGAACGAAGAAACTGTGATGTGTGTTCGTATAGATACATGAGAAGCTCAGTGTGCTTGAGGCTACTTCTCAGTGGTCTGAATGTAAAGGGGAAAGGCAAGTAGCTGGTCAGGAAGCAGCCCACGCGTTTAATGTCACTTTAAAATGTCTGTGCTTTCTTGCAGAATAACCACGTGCATGGACAGCCATATACAGGCCCGGCAGCACATCATATGAACAACCCTCAGCGAACTGGCCAACGAGCACAAGAAAATTATGAAGGCAGTGAAGAAGTTTCCCCGCCTCAGACAAAAGATTAGTGAAATGCACATAACCAATTAACTTGCTCCATCAAGACTGTGCACCCAGGCCTTACAGTCCAACCTTTCTCTGTGTCTGGCTAATATTTAAAACTAGAAAAACTATTCCTAATCAACATGGAGTGGAGAGTCTATTCACTGTCTTATCTGCAGAAAATTGCTGTCCATATATAACCCGCCTGCAGTGGAAAGTGTATAGTGTTTTGTAATAAATGGCCTGATGCTAATGTGTAAATGGCAAAGGTGTATATAGTATATTAATGTTTGACTGTTAATTCTTGAGCAAGAAACATTTTTTTTGTCTTGATGAGACTCACAGATCTACAAAAACAAAAAAATAATTTCTTGATATATCTGCTGCGCTCTGCAACCAGTGTTGCCTGCCTCATGGCAGTCGGATCAACTCCTTTACGAAAAAGCCTATCCATGTCAACCACAAAAATAGTTTAATGTTAATTCTTTGCCACTGGAGTCGATTTTACTATGAGCAACGTAATGGCTGGTAACCTTTTAATTATTTGGTTGATGTGGAAAATTGGTGATGTAACATTGTTTCTAGATCTTTTTTCATTGCCTTTTTCATTCTGGTATTAGGTTAATCACTTTGAAGCTATAGTTATGCTGTAACATTTAGCATGGCTTCACACCAAGTTAGTGTAGCCAATGAGGGGGGAAAAAAAACGTGACAGCAGTTGTCCCAATGTGACAACTGTTTTGCTCAGAACTTTTTCTTCTTACACCTAGTCTATAAAATGGGGAGGGAAAATGTGACAAACAAGTGGTTTTCAGTTTCACATATGTTCCTCACATCTGATGTTTGACAGTTCTGTCTCTGGGTGGGATAAAGAACACTTAGTTTTCAGTAATAGGAATTTAAAAGATTTAAAACAAATATGCAAAAATTTGCTATGCCAGGATGCCTGGAGCATAATAGACTGTATTTGGTGTGCTTGTTTTGTTTCTTTGGTAGAGCTTATTAGATAAACTTCTAACACTTTCCTTCTACTGCATCCCAGTGAAGTGGAAGTCAACGAAATCACACAGTACTTGTGAGTGCCACTGCACCAAGTTAACTTGCTGGTTTTCTGCTCGTTCACAGTTCTACTTGAAAGCGAGAATTGTCTTAGCTCTTTATCCATTATACAGGAAATCTTAACATTAGAAGCAGGGTTTAATTATAAAAGAAACTACTGGTTAGTCAAATACAATTCTGAGGTATCTCTATTCCAGAATAAACATTTGTTTAAAGACTTCAAGAAACGCATCAGTAAATACTGTATTTAAATGAAAATTGGTAACTTGAATGTGTGTAATTTTTTTGGAACCTGTCTAAAAACCAAATACCCCTGCAAAACAGATACAGCCCACCCTATACTATTTAAATATTTTGCTGTTTTATTTTATAGAAATTATTTTGCTGAATTCACAAATAGAATTTGATTTAAGAAGAATGTTTTGTCCTGTGGTGTGTGTTGTTTTTTGTTTTTGTTTTTTTTTTTAATGGACTGCACAGAAAGGTGAATTCTGTGCAGTGGCACTATGCTGAATTCTGGAACAACAGTCACATTGAGATTCTGTGCACAAAAAAATTTGGCCCTTAAGAATAAAATAATCAGGACAACAATTACACTGTAAAAGTTTCTTAATGTGATTTATCTTGTACTTTTTGTATGTTTTTATATATACATATATATATTTAATGAGCACAAGCTTGATGGTGTTTTTTACAAACGAGTTGATAGAAACAAAGCTGCTTATCAAATTAAAGCTCTGTAGTTTTGAAATGAACAAAGGAAAATTCAGTCGCAAGTGCATTCTTATGCATTTAGTGTAACAAGGAAGAGGCACGGAAGATTTTTTGAATATGCTGTGTAGCGATGATCACTTTTATGCTTCCATGTTTTCCCTAGTGCTCAAGTTAATTCAGATTTTTTCATAGTTTTCTAGTAATACCATTTTACCTGGAGTTAGTGATATTTGGATAAAGTGCTCCCATTTATGTTTGGGAATGCTTGTTGGAGATTTTAACTCAAAAATCCTACCCTGAATACTGAAGTTGAAATAGTTCATATTTATTTGGACCAGTAATTCTTAAACAAGCTATCTCAGAGGCAATTATTATGTATTTTTTACTATATGGGTGAAATATATAATGTGCTAATTCAGCCTTGCCAAATGTGTTTGCTTTTAATAGTGTAGTGATTGTAGAGACATGTCAAACCTGTGACACTTTAAGGCTGTGACTTTCTTCAGTCATACGCACCCCTGTCCCTGAATCGAGGGTGGCTGCAGCGGCAGCTTTTTTTCAGGCAGCAAATTGAGAATATTGTGCATCTTTGTGACTTTGAAGAAGGACAGCCTGTGTTGTTTGCTGCAGCTGCTGCTTTTAAACAGATGGCTACAGAAAAAGGTGCAATGTTTTCTTCACTCTGGGCAAAACAGCTTCGAATTGTATTTAACAAATCTTGTACAAGCAAAAAGTTTACTGTCATGGCATCTTGGCAGTTGTCATTTTCAGGCGATACACGGTACCTCATTGTTGATGGCATACTTTAAAATAGTCCTTAAAGTGCCTAATATTTAATTCCCCTATCAGTAAGTTCAGTCCTGTTTGGGTTTTTGTTTGTTTGATTTTTTTGGGTTTTGGGTTGATTTTATTTTTTTTCTTAGAACATTTACTAGGGAATCTCTGGTCTTCCATAAAATAAACCAATAAATAGTAAAGCAATTACTCATGTTCCTGACAATGTAACATCAAATGCATAGAAACTGAACGTTCATAGGTGATGTTATATCGTGATTAATGTGTAGTTTGACCCAGGGGGAAATCCATAACCTTACTAGGCAGAATTTCTCCCTCTTGTATGTTCGGACTGTGGTTGTTTAGTGACTAAAATAAGCTTTTAACACTTGTTACCTTTAGTGTTAAAAAATCAGTACAGCCACATAAAAAAGGGATTCAGTTACTCTTTGTGTATCAGTAAATACACTAAGTTTCAGTCACAGAGTCGGTCACCTACACCTCTGTGCATTCATTGACAGCAGTGAGATTGCACAGGGTTCAGTCAGCTTGTTTGCCGTGCAGAACCTGATTTTGTGGTGATGCACAAGCAGAAAAGGACTCCACTTGTAATTTCTCAGATTATTTTCCCTGCTAACTACCAGCTCTGAAAATTGAAGTTCTCTACTTTTAAAGCTAGTGTATCTTGCTGAAATTGAGCCAGAAAGAAATGAAATTCCACAGTGACATTTCAGATTTTTTTTTCAGAGCGAGACTTCATGGATGATATGTGAAAATTGTGTTTTGGTAGTTGCTATTATGCTTTTTCAGCCACTTTGTCGTGCCTAGCTTGTGTATTTTACCATATATATCATGAAAAAGCACTTACGGTTCCAAAACTTTCTATGTATTTCCTGAGTTCCAGGAGAGAACTTCAAGATCAGCCATTCTGCTAAAGCTACATGGGCAAAAATTGGCTGCTGTAGGAATTTACTTCATTTTTTGTTTCAGTAAATTTTGTCTCCCTCTGAGTCTTTTGCCAGGGATGAATAGGCTGCTAAGTTATGTCAAGGCAGAATGGCTCAGTGGTTTTGGTGGCATGTGTTTCAGTTACTAGGCATTGCAGTGAGGCTTTTAATGCGATGAATTTAACTTCAAATGCAAGTTAAAAACTGCCTATATAAAGTAGAGGAAGAAGTAGCATATTAGGAAATCTGCAGAGTAAACAGTTGTTTATATATCTTAGTTAAACCTTGTTAGTCCACACTTGCAAATCCACCTGGAAAGCAAATTCTCCCCTGTGGTGAAAGACACCCACCTTAATTTTTGGGAGGGTGAGATCCTGATGCTGACCTCGCATTTCTTAAGACAGGTGTGGGAGTTCTCTGTGGCCCTGTTCCAGCACAGTGTAATCAGGACAACAGTAGTTCTGGCTCCTTGTCTTCTGACCTCCTGTGTTCTCCGTCATGTCCACGATACCACTTTCCTCACAGCCCTGAGGTCTTGGGAATCAAGTCTAAACCCACCTTCTGTCTAGAGCAAAACAAACGACTTCTCTTTCTGGAGGAGAAGTGGGAACCGTTTTGTAACTGCTGCATGCTGCACAGGGGTACTACAGTAAACAGAAAGCAAGGTGAAAGAAACCCAGCTACATCCTTCCCCATGATTTCTCTTGTGCTTGCAAGTGGTCTCATGAGGAGGGTGACAGCAAACAGAGCTCTTGGGAGCTCAGTGCATTTTCTTTCTGCTTGTAACTGGAATTGGTCTGCACTAGTGTAGTAAGGTCACTGTGCAGCAGCACCAGCAGCAGCACAAGCAACTCGTCCTATATATGCTCTCCATACTGTTCCAGGGTGTTCATTACACCTTCCTTCTGTTGGTCTTTGGGGATTGCCATGTTAGTACTGTTAACACAGTCATTCATGCTGAGACTTGCCCTCCGTTACAGACCAGACAGCTCAGCTGCACGAGAAGGGCTTTAACCCAGTCTGACCACTGTCACTTTTTACACTGTGTGACTTCTTAAGGTGCATACTATAAATGTCCTTTTATTTCTAAGGTATAAAAATTTCCCTTGGACTAACTGTTTTAAAATGCCAAATAGACACTCTTGTCCTTTTTCACAAGAGCAAGTGTTCAGTCCTGCCCTTGCAGTGTCTGTTATGGTAGGCTGTTCACAGAACTCTGTTGACATAGATTCCAGCACTTAAATTCAGAGCTCCTCATCCTGTAATCTGATTTTCCAATGCAAGCTGTGGTGGATCCATGGATTTTAACAGCATTTGTGTGAGTCCTGTTTATTTCAGCACCGTAAGAGTTGAAGTTGGTGATGTGTCGCAGGGTTCAACACAGAGAAGTCAGCAGGTGGCACAAAAGACGACTTATTGTATTTACACTTATTTGCAGTCAATGAAATCAAAACAAGCACAGGAGAACCAGTTTCTGAAGGAGAAAAACACTCTCCTGAGTAAGGGCTAACTTTTCATCAGATTTTAAATACCCAACTCCATGTTTTTTAGCTTTAGAAGTCCTTAAAGCCACTTTTTGATAATATAACTGACCTACAGGCTGTTTCTTTGGAATAATTTAATATAGCCTTAATTACATCAGCACAACCCTGAAAGGACAGTGTCATTCTTCAGTGGTCAAAATACTGTGCACGTCTTCTGGTTTAACAATGAGCTGACCGTGAATAATGAAAATAGGAGGAAAAAGGAAAATGGGTTCTATGAATTCATCTAAAACCTAACCATAGAAAAACATTCAGTGCAGGAAAATAAGACCATTCCCTTCTTCCCTGTCTCTATACTACTTAAAATATCTGATAATGTTTAATTTTTATTCTTACTTTACAACTGCTGGGTTTATGTTGCCCTGAGCAGTGTCAGCTGCACAGTTCACAGCTTCCTGATGCAGCTGTAGTTCTGTCCCCTTTAGTCCTTACCAGAGCAAAACCTTTCAGTGTTTGTTTTGTTGGGTTTTTTTTCCCCCACATAACCCAGTTCCCAAATCCATACTTCCATTTTCATTGTTGTGATGTTGTTTCTGGTTTTGTATAATAACTGGGACTGGATGAATGCTTTCCAAGTGTGGTTTCCCCTGAGCCGTTAAGCGAGCAGTTATGTTCCTTTTCTGTAATGATACCTCTCTGGGTGCAGATTTTAAAGGTTTTGGCCTTTTTGTAGCTTTATTTATTGAAATGCTGCTTGGTTCTTGTCCATCACTTCTAAATTTCTGTTTGTTTCTTACCAAGTTTCTCCCTCTGGATTGCCAGGATGGCTTTCCAGTTAATATTTTTGTATTTTCTTGGAATCAAATCCCTTCACTTGCTGTGCTGGGTTTTTTAACCTCCTTTTCTACCTACACCTGCTGCTTTGCTGTCAGCTGCTACAAAAGAACCGTGTTTGCCAGGCTGCCCGGTGCTCCCAGCCTGAGCCTCTTCATGTGCAGCAGCAGCAGCCACAGCCTCGACCAGGTGGGCTTTGTCATCTCTTAAATCTTCAATTTATCTGGGATAAATTTATCTGGGGGGGGGAAGCTACGTGCTACTGATGGCAGTCTTGAATTCAAATAGCTTGTAGCTTATTGGGGGGTTTTGTTTGATTTGCTTCATTTTCTATCTTGAACTGTTAGTTTCTACAGGTAAATAAAAATGGTGGGTCTCACTTGGAATCTCCTTTAGAAAAGAACGCTGATTGAAAACATGGGACACTTAATATACTTGATTGTATTTAAGTATTTGGTGGGTGCTTTAGAGTCCTTAGAAGGCCTTCTGGAAGCAAATTCAAAAGCTTAGGAACACAAAGACTGCATCTTAGAGATTTAATGATACTCACAAATTCTATCTGCCTGTCCTGCTGTGTGATTAAGAACAGGTGAAGCAGGAGAAATGGAAATATTTCACTGAAGGGAGGGAGGTCAGATCCCTTGGGAGCTGGCCTGGGCTCACAC